CGTCGCATACCCATGTATACGCGTGATTTTCAGGACTTTCACCCTAAATACGCAGGCCAATTTGTTTGACATAACAATGATCTCTTCTTAGATTCACCCATATTCTCAAAACGATAACATTTCCAATGTATAGATAATACTCAATGCAAATGAATAAGGAAATAAAACTCTATTCTTACACATGCAAACAAAATAATAATATTGGATTACAAGGGTATAAAAATAAATAAAAAATAAAGTTGAGGGTTGAGGCTAGTGGCAAATTGAGAAATTTTGCAAAATTCTATAAATTTTGGAGAGTAAAACTCTATTTTATTTTTATTAATATTGAAAATAGTATGGGACCAATGGAAGTGTCTGTTTGGTTTGATTTTTTAAAAACTATTTTTAGATAAGTTCTCATTTATTGTTATTGATTTTTTGTGATATTTTAATCAATTTTTTTATTTTTACTTTTTAGATGCACCTAATCAAGACGTATCTAAAAAGTAAAAGATAAATTGACTAAAAATATTTTCAAGAAATCACTAAAAAAAATTGAAAATTCGAATAAAAATCTGTGTGCATTTTTGTTTGGATTTTCGTTTGTTTTTAGTGAATTGTTTTCATATTATAATTAATTTTTTTTACTTTTTAGATATATCTAATCTTGATGTGTCTAAAAAGTAAAATATAAAATGACTAAAATATAAAATAAAATAAAAAATTCATTGAAGACAAACAAAAAATCATCTAAAATTTTTTTTTGAAAACTGTAACTAAATTAATTTTCTAATGATCAGATAATTTTTGAAAACTGTAACTAAATTAATTTTCTAATGATCACTTTAGGCTTCACTACAACATATAAGACTTTTGGCAACCTATTATTTTGGTCCCTAAAACCACTGTTTTGGCCTCTAAATGGTCTTTGTGACAAAATTAAATTCGTCACTAAAAAAGTCACTAAAAGTGCGTCTAGAAAAGTCTTTAGCGACGAATTTTTGAAAAGGTCGCTGAAAATGACAATTAGCGACCAATTTTATATTGTCACAAAATGTTTGATTTTGCAAAACTAAAATATTTCGTCGCTAATACTTTATCACAAAATGTTTCCATTTGGTCGCAAAAAGCAAAATAGTGACTTTTTTAACAACAAATATATCTGGTCGCTAAAGGTTTGAAATAACATTTTGAAAACATTCAATTTCATAGCTACAAATTGACATCCACAGCCCAAATCTATCTTCGTATATAGAAAAAAAACAAGATCAAAAAAACAAGAATCAATTGGGGAAATATCAGAATTAAGCATTTTAATGAGCATATAATATGCCTGTAAAACTGCATACAAGCACTTTCTATGTGCACAAAGAAACATACACCAAATCCAAGTACAAATAATTGGAAACATATTTTTAAAATAACATAATAGATATTGACATTCATTGAGCTTATTATCTGGACTGTGTACCGCTCTGTCGAAAGATAGAAGTACAAATAACATGAATAGTCACCAATGTTGACAATTGAGGGGTGCGTTGCTGCAAATGACTATAAAATCAAATAATTGGAAATCATCAATGCTGGATAAGATGGTCCGCTTAAGTTATAGCTAGTCCGAGCTGCATATATAATGAAAAAGAATAATTTTAGCCATCAAACAGGTGTGATCTCAAATATGAGTTAATGTCACATGTCAAAATAAAAGGTCAAATACAATTTTCCCCAAACTTACATAATCTAAGCTCGCCAATCATGCCCCAACCCAATCTAAGTAAACTCACCACTGCAAATATAAGATAGACACTAAAAGACATTCTCTACATGCAATAAAAATAAAATAACAAGGGTGGAAGAAAGATCAAACACATAAAAAATGGATAATAAACACCTTCAGTAAAATATTGAAAATATCAATAGCAGAGAAACATGGTATGGGGAAACAGGGAAGAAAAAGCTGTAGAAGCATGGAAGTTTATTGAATATTGAAAATCCCAATGTATTTAAATTTTCAATAAGATTTCTACCTAGCAAAATATGGATTTTTTTTTTACTTAAAATTAATAGTAAATTAATATCTTGACAAGTTAGCAATATTTTGACAAGTTATCAACAGGTTCTCTCTTTTTTTTCTTTTTTTTTTCTTTTTTGGAAAAAAGATAAAAATAGTAAAATTAAAAAATAAAATTGGTTACCCCCATCTTGCCTTCACCATTCCAGATGTCTTCCTCTTCCCCATAGTCATTAAGTCTTGACATTGCCTTTTCATTTCAGCTTGCTATTCATAAAATACGATCACATTTTATAATCCCAAACAGCAGGGGAAAATGACAAAATAGCTGAACTAGAGTAGTGAACAAATATGTCATGATATATGGTGTCACATGACATATGGTGTCATGTATGAAATATGCTTGACTAAGTAAATACTAAAATAGAATTGGCAGCTGACCCAAATGACTAGGTTTTTGTTGTGGAACGCAAGGTGTGATAATCAATTCTACGTTTTTTTTCATGGAACTTCCTAAAATTTGAGAAGTGCAAAACTTTCCAAAATCCATATATAACACCCATGCATTACAATTCAAGACAGCTTGCCCATCTTATCCATGTGCTGACCCTAAAAATCACCTTCTTCAATTAGAAAGAACAGTAGAACATTTCCATCTCAAGTTTATCAGTAACCAAATATATGAAAGAGACATTACATGCCATATACATTAAAATTTGGGTATTACAACTTCATTGCATATTAATCTTTTACAGCATATGCAAATCCATGCACATTAATTGCACATAATAAAATATATATAAACATAAATATCATATGATCTACCTTTAACGGTTTTTCCTATATAATGGGATGAATAAATTCAATACATACAAAATTCTAAACAAAATTTGTCAAACAACTTATAAGCTATATATACCTAATATAAAAAAAAAAAATGCTTAATTACATCATATAATTCAATTAAATTCATCATCAAACGAGCAAAGAATCAACAAAAACGTCATCGATTTTCTCAGCCACTTTCGCTGCGATCTCTTCAAGCCCTTTCTTCAAGATTTCCAAATCTTCAATGCTATCACTCGCATCGAATTGCAGAGCATCCAACCACGAATTCAACCGGTGGTGGTTCGCGGCGGCAGCCTCACAACCCTCTTCTGCCTTCTCTCCGGCTGCGACGGTGTTGAGGTAACGATCGACAAGGGCGTCGAAGGAGGGTTCGCCGTGAGTGTAGGGACGGCCAGCGGGGGAGAAGGTGAGGATTGCGATGTCGACGCCGGTGAGAGATCGGAGTTGTCGGGCTTTGTTGAAGAGACCACGACGTCTCTTAGAAAATGTAACCATTCTCTGTCCTTGCTTCTCTACTCTTTTAATCTCAATTTTTTTTTTTCCACTTCCCATCTTCTCTTCTGTTTTACGCCGTCTCTAACAAAACTCTCCCTTAAATAAGCCGCCAACCCACCGACCAAAACCCTAGCTACTACTTCTGGCGGTAAAGTTTGGACAACTGTTTAGTGGGGATGTGTTTGGGCTGGGCTTCCACCTAATTCTTCCTTATTACGCCCAAGATTGTTTCTCAATTGGGTCGACACTTAAATGAAGGCCCAACCAGCCCAATTAGTTATTGCCACATCTAACTTCATTGGTCTATATTTGGCGCCCAAGTGAACTGAACTGTTTGCCAGTTCAACTCAACTCTGTTCATTAAATAAATAAACGATATCAAATAAGCTTATTGCATTTATTATTTATTTAAATGATAAGATAAATATATTTTATATATATATATATATATTTTAAAATAATGTAAATAATAATGAAAAAAAATTATCGAGTTTCAAGCTTAACTTGAACTTGGTTAGTCTTGAACTTAGTTAGTATTTAGTATTAATGAGTTGAGCTGAGTTTGAACTGAATTTTCAGGCTTGTTAAATAAATGAACTGAGTTCAAGCCTTCAAAACTCAACTCAACTCATTTTTTGGCAAAAAAAATTAGGATAAATTACATTGACACCAACTGAAATTTATGTTTATTACAATTTTTCTCTTACCTTTTGAAAATTTTAAACCTCGGGAGGGAGGGGGATGTATTTCTATTTGGGAGTATTTCTTCTTGTGATTCTTAGGTTTATTCTAATATAAAGTTTCATGATATATTTTTAAGTTTATTGTATTTTTTCTTATATAGTTAATGTAAATTTTATGATATCTCCAATCACATAAATAAATAAATAAAATGGCCATTTACTAATAAATCTTATATCTATGACTTATAGACCATTTAGTCCCATACATATTTTTTATAAACCCAAAAGTCCTATCTCATATTAAAATCTCCCAAATGAAATATACCTCGCATTTAGAACCGTGATAACACAATAGTACACACATTAGAATGATATCTCATTTTCACATTTTAATAATGACACATTTGATAAAAGTTTAATAAGATAATAGTGTATAAATGTCTCATTGTTAAGATAATGAAATATTTGACAAAAATTTAATAAGATAATAGTATACAAATTAGAATGATATCCCATTATCACATTTTAAGAATGACACAATTGATAAAAATGTAATAAGTCAGTAGTGCACAAATATCCCATTGTTACATTTTAAGAAGAATGACACATTTGACAAAAATTTAATAAGACAATAGTATGTACATTAGAATGATAAGTGTACTTTTTAACTTTTTATAAAAGATGTACAGAAAAGTAGAGAGGTGATGTAATCCAAACCAAGTAAATTAAATTACTTACCCCAAAAAAAAAAAACCAAACAAATTTGACAAAAATTTAATAAAACAATAGTGCATAAATAAAGTATATCCACATTTGGAATATTCAAGAAATATAGTGAAAGAACCTCATAGTATATCTTTTCAAATTCAAAAATTAATGAGATGTTCCGATATATATTTTTTTAAGATAGGACTTATGTGTAAACTTCTCTAAATTTCCCTAAATAGAAAGGACAAACAATTATAAGTTGTTACAAACATGCGTGCTGACTACACTGGCCTTGGATTTGATCAGTTGTCAGATGTTATTGATAAGTTGTTGGCCATCCCCACAGATCTACAAGTCCACTTCCAGTTGTAGACACCAAAATAATACGGAGTTGTTTGAAATGACCTAAATAAGTGTACTTTTTGTCTTTTTACGAAAAGATGTGCAAAAAAGTAGAGAGGTGATGTGATGGAAAAAAGATAAAAAGATGGATTATTTTTGAGTTGCCAAACTTGGTCTAACAAAATATAACCTTGATGTTAAAATGAACGCACAAGTCTAATGGGCTGCCATATCTGGGGTTTGATTTTCTTTCAAGCCTTGGATATACTTTCCAACCGTACCATAATATCAAATGAAAACCAGCCAACTTTCATCATTAAGACGATTTTCTCATCAAGATAACCCAACTATCGGAAGGTATTCATATAAAGCATTTACACCAAAATATTAATTTCAAGACCTCCCAAAACCCAAGTATTGTGTCTCACTTTGTTAATCTCTTACAAGTAGTAGATATATATATGATTATCTACTTCAATAAGTGGGCAAGGTCAGGATCATCCAGGTCCAAATCCAACCATCCATTTAAGCGCATGTACTCGATGTAATGATCTGGTGGCTTCACAGCACGTGGATTTCTTGGAGTAAAGCGATGAATCCTCTCAAGATCTCGAGCAAGCCACTGCACATATGCACGGTCAAAAGGAGGTACAATCTTTAGGAATATCTCTTCCTTCTCTTCCTTTGCAGGCTTGTTTCCCATGTTTAATCAAACCTAGCCAACATATAAAAAATAAAAAAAAATAAAAAAATAAAAAAAAAGGAAAAAAGTAGCAGTCAGAAAGAAAACTCACCTCCTATCAATCATTGAATAATAGAATATCTTTAAAGGCATGCAAGGTGATACTAAAAACTTGCTAAAGAAGGCCAAACTCCATTTACTTCAATAAGCATCCCATAACTTTTTTATTGTGCAACCTATCATATATTTCTTTCTTCCTTCATTTTTCTGATTCTACAGTGCTTAAAATAATACCACTTTGAAAATTTATAACACACTGAAATTGTATCCCCTACAAATACACAAATGCTGTTTGTCCCCTTTGTAGACCTCAGAGAGATCGTGTCTAACCATGACCGTCTTATCCCATAGAAAGTTTTGTCCCAGCTCCCAATTCTGTGGTCTCAATTAATAATCAAGGCTTTGGGGCAGCACTTATCTCAACTGCTAAAGAACAAGAATTAGCTCAACTAGGTCTTGCAAATTTAGAACTGTTAGAATAAGCTATGCAACTTAAATTTATACATTGTACTAGTTGATAAATTTAACCTCCTATCAATAATCTATACTATTATATTAAGTGAAGGCTGGACTTGGTGTCCAAGCCTTTGCTTGCTTCTCCTTATGTCATGTGTCTCTCATTTTTCTACTTACAAAGAAAAAATAATAATAAAAATATTAGATAGATGACAAGAATGGAACTCGAACCTTGGACCTTGGGTTTACTAAAAAAGACTCTTACTACTTGAGTGACACACAATATATAGAAAATATTTTGTTTTATTTTTACTTATTTGAATTGCACATGCATAGCCAACCTATGAAGCATGGACACTCCAAAATTGGTGCCGTGGCAGTGTCCGACACGCGGACACGCCGGGGACACGGGGACACGCCTCCGACACGTACGGGACACGCCAGATGGCGTGTCCCTTTAATTTAATAATTTTTTTGGAAGGGGACACGGCGGGGACACGGTGGGGACACGCGTGTCTCCATCTGGACACGCCATGGGACACAGCGGGGCTGTTTTTTGAATTTTTTTTATTTATTTGGGGTCAAAGTATAATATTTATCAAGTTTAAAAAAAAAAAAAAAAAGGGCAAAGCCCTAATCGAACGAGTAAAATCAGACCTGCGAAGAGCTTGTTTCTCTCAGTCGAAGCCTTCTCAAGTCGATCGAACCTCTCTCTCTCAGTCGCAGCCCTCCGAAGTCCATCGAAGCCCTCCGAAGTCCATCGAAGACCTCCGATCCAGTCGTCTCAGTCTCTGTTTCAGTCCATCCAGTCGAAGTTTCATCCCAGCTCCCAATTCTGTGGTCTCAATTAATAATCAAGGCTTTGGAGCAGCACTTATCTCAACTGCTAAAGAACAAGAATTAACTCAACTAGGTCTTGCAAATTTAGAACTGTTAGAATAAGCTATGCAACTTAAATTTATACATTGTACTAGTTGATAAATTTAACCTCCTATCAATAATCTATACTATTATATTAAGTGAAGGCTGGACTTGGTGTCCAAGCCTTTGCTTGCTTCTCCTTATGTCATGTGTCTCTCATTTTTCTACTTGCAAAGAAAAAAAATAATAAAAATATTAGATAGATGACAAGAATGGAACTCGAACCTTGGACCTTGGGTCTACTAAAGAAGACTCTTACTACTCGAGTGACACACAATATATAGAAAATATTTTGTTTTATTTTTGCTTATTTGAATTGCACATGCATAGCCAACTGCTAGTTGTAGATTAAGTACAAGTCTCATCAGAGTGTATGTCTCCAAGTTGTTTTGTTCATCCCATAATTGGAGGACATAGTGGCATGGGTGAAACATTCAAAGTGTATACAGTTAATCCTCCTTTTGTACATGATGAAAACTGCCATATATACGTAGTACAGCATATTTGATGATGGTATACTGGTACAAATTGTCCACACAACCAAATAATAAATTATTGAGAAGTATTTACGGAAGTGAATAAAAAACATTGAACTCCTTTTGGGTATTTAATGCTAAATGGCATCAAACATAAACTACAGCATACCCATATCATATCTAGTCAAACAGGTATTTCATTCATGTTGGAGCAAAAATGTGATAAATGTACTAAGACTAATGTGGGCAGTTCTTGAAATGTAAAAAAAAAAAATGGAGAGACAAGGTTAAGGTCATAATTGGATAGACTGGAGAAGGCCTGAACCCCTTGATTTATCCATTATGTCACAAATATATAAAAAATAAAAAGTTTTAATGAAAAAAAAAAAAAAAAGAAGGTGAGTCAAGCTTAGGAATTCAACCATGAAGGATATTTATTTTCGCTTATTTAGGAATTCAACACCCATTAACATCCCAATTTCAATTAGGATCCTATGTTGTTCCATTCATACTACCCCATTACGTACTACTAATTCCGTAAGCTATAAATTCTAAATCTCCAAGTGAACAGTCTGTTGCAACTGATAAGTTTTCTATGATGCAGCCCACTCTACAAAGGAAAGCTTGTCACCATGATAATGTAGGATCAAAATCAATAACTATTCCTTTAACACATGATACAGGAATCATGCTGAAAATACAGGAATGTCACAACCATACGGCAATGCAGTGCATGATGGGAGCTCCCCCTAATGTAACTAATTACAACTAACCTCCTAGAAGTATCAGGTTTTGAGAAATGTAATTGAGTTACATTGAATTTTCTCTTTACTCAAATTAGAGCCTACTGTAATTGATTGGTTTATTTTCATGTTGTTGAGCTTCATTTGGTCTTTCTGAGTAACTAATTGGACTCAAAGAACATAATTTCACTACTTTATTTGTGGGATGTGCATGATTTTAAATACATTATAAACATTACCAAATATTTATAAATAGATATAGACACACATAAACGTGCAAAACTATAGATATAGAGGGAGAAGTGGTAGAGAATTGTTGTGATCAATACAAATCACTGTTATTCTTCAATACCTTGTAGACACTTGAATCTTGATAACATTTGAGAAACTTAATCCTAGAACTCTACCTTGATTTATAATTTGGTCAGGAGAAGCAACCTTAGAGCATTTTCAATCTTTCATCTTTTTTCCTTTCTCTTTTTTTTTTTCCATCAAATTTGGGTAAAAAAAATGGATAAAAGCTTGATTTGATATGGGATGCTCCAATAGATTTCTGTCAAATTTAACTAAAAACTAGATTTGGTGAAAAATTGAATGCTTCAATCCTCACTAACTTCAAAATTTTCATCAAATATTTTTGAAAATTTCAAATTTACCCCCCGAAAGCTTCTTTCATCAAATTTGGTTTAAAAAAAAAAAAACTTGTTTTGCCATGATTTGATGAAAATTTTGGTGAAAACTTGATTTGATACAAGTTTGATGAAATGATTGGAGGTCATTTTCAATACAAAATGTTTATGGTTTTCCTTATGTATATCCTAATCAATCTCAAATTTTGAGCCCATTTTTTTCTTTCTTTATTTATTTTTTCTGTCCACCCTTGAATAACTTTGCAGACCTGAGGGTTCTACAAAGTCCATAGAGCACAAGACTATGAAAAGATCAAATCAATCGGAGCTCTACAACATGACCATGGAATTTTCTTCTGGAATTGAGCAATTCATGTGAAATCACTCAATCGGATTCAAGAGTACCAACATCTACTCTAAATAGTGAATTCAATGAGTCAATTCATAGGTTCGCCCACATGTAATGATAAGGGGGATCGAGAGCAAAACCAAAAAAAGACAAGTAATTTACAACAGACGTGTGTTCAGAGTTGAATGCACAATTCATAGAGAAATGAAAAGTGATAAATCATGACTTACCAGGGTTTGCTTGTTGGCCTCTCAATCTCACACACAGTAGCAGTCAAGGCAAGGCAACAGATAGAGAGAGAAAGCTTAGGCAGAGGAAGAGTGCAAATGTTTGTACACAACTGAAACTGGTGCCAAAATACCCGACCCAATGGGACCCGACCCTCTCCGACTCTTTAAAGTAAAATGAGTTTGGGGATTTTTGATAATTAAGGCCTCGTTTGGAACCAATCTTTAGGTTATATCAACTTTCTATTTTTTACACGTTTTTTCAAAAACAAATTAAAAGAATTTAAAGGATTAGTTTTTAACCTACATTCCAAAACAATCCTAAGCCAGGGTAGGGTTGGGTTGGATTGGGTTTGTTGGAGAAATTTTACTTACACCGTAATTTTAGAGTGTTTTGAAAAGTTGGTTAAAAGTTGACTTTTTAATTTTTTTTTACTTTTTAAAAAAAACATGTAAAAAAGTAAAAAGTTATGTGACCAAAAAAAATCAAAAAACTAAAAAACTAGCTTTTAACCAGCTTGCCAAAATGGCACTTTATCTCTTTATATATATTTTCTCATTACACTATTAAAAAATAGTTAAAATTCTCATTACACCCTTTATAATACCAAAACTAACCTTAAATTAAACCATTTTTAAAATCCATATAGATTTTTTTCATTACACATATTTCTTTTGAATTACTCCGGTGTAATCTTACTAAAAAAGTTATATTTATCTAGCCATCTTTTGTCACACATTTATAGATTCACTTGTCTTAAAATATCATTTTTTTTCCTAAATTTATGATGGGCCAGTTCGGTTATACATTGCCAAACAATTTAGATTATTTCAGTGTCATGTTGCTGAATAAATTAATTTTGTTCAGCCATTTGTTACCGCATGTTTACATATTCACTGTCTTTAAAATTTCAAGTATCTATAAAAACATGAAGTGTATAAACATCTATGAAAACATTCATAAAAATAGTCTATACAAATATCTTTAAATTTGTCAATACAAACATATACAAAAACACACTGAGATTGTTATCACAATCCATCTATGTTGATAATTTTGGTAGTTACTACATTAGGGCTGACAAGTGTACGAAATTGATCAATACAAATAATATATGCTTTTTCCATCCACTAGCACACGGGTGATGAAAACTAATCCAATTACTTACTTTCGGAGGTATTGGATGACCAGGAAGCAGATAAATCTAATAAACCATTAACAATGTATTACTAGCATTACTGCAATGAATAGAAATATAATCCTTCAAAACAAAAACAAAAAAATAAAATAAAAATGAAAGAGGAAATGTTTAGTAGTGAGTTACTGGAAATGTACTTTTTGTTCAGTAGTAGGTTATTGGATATGTATTTTTTGTTCAACAGTGTGATTTCAGGCATTTGATTTTATTCGGTTCTGGTACACTGAACAAAAGTCAAACAATCATCTTGAAAAACGAAATGAAAACATAAAAAGTAAAGAAAAAAAATTTACCATTTCACTTTTTTGCAGGTCCTTCATCACAAGTTCTTCATCTATTGATTTTTTTATGATCAAAACACTATGATTTTCACTTTTTTAAAAAATATATAGTATAAAAGAAGAAATGAGAAAACAATAAAAAAAAAATAGGGATTGAAGTGTAATGAGTGTAAAGAAATAATCAAATCTATTTAATTTTTATCTTTTGTCCTTAAAAATAATTCCACACACAAATAAAATTAGAGAAAAAAAAATATTTCTCAAATGAAGAGTGTAAAGAAATAAATATATTGTGTAAGTAGAATTTTTTGTTGAATAGGGTTGGGTTTGTGAGTGAATTTTTTTTAAAAACATATTTTTCATTATTGTTTATTGATATATAACGATTTTTAAGTTTTTTTTTTTTTTTTTTTTTTTTTTTGGTCCTTTTCTAGATATCATAATTCCCTCTCCCTATATTATGTAATTTTATTAACATTGCCTTCGTTTGGCATGAGGCTAAAATGAAGTTGGAAGCTAAAATAGTCACAAAAGACAAAATAGGCTAAAAAAATCAATAAGACAAAATGTCACATCCAAATCATAATTATTTCACTTTTTCTCTTACAAAAGTCAAAAAAATCCAGCCCAAACAAAGTTTTTAGCCCTAGACTAAAATATCTAAAAAGCCAAAAAGTCAACTCACTTCCCAAATGAAGCCATTGATGTTAAACAATATCAATTGCTACAAGTCATTTATCTCACATTATTAAAATTCAATATTAAAGATATAAATAATAAAGGCAAAATGGACTAGTAGGGTCAGATATAGAATTACATTAAGCGGGGCGAGACAAGGGTGAGGTATATGTCCAAATTAGGGTGGAGTGGAGGTCATCAACATAACATGGTCCGTTACAATTCTTGCTTATATGGTTGTTTAATAGGGTAAATTACAAATAAATAAATTCATGAGATTTGCTTAAAATATAGATTATTGTGGTGAG